TCAATGTAGGTACTTTTTAAAGAATGTCAGCACCTCTCACTGCCACCGTGTCTCACTGTCTTTGCTCATCATTGTACTTTAAAACTTAGAGGATAGAGAAAGTGACATGCAGTGAACAGCAGGAGTTGACACAGGCTGTTACATAAAGTCATGTAAACAGCATCCTGCCCTCTCTTCCACCTCTGCACTCCTCCCAGATTCTGTTTGCCTGAGAACCCATTTCTGGAATCCACTTTACCTCTTCAACTAAATTCCAAAAATCAGACCCACTGAAGCATCTTCTTCAGTCACAGGGATATCTTTATTTATTTATATTTCCATTGGACTGTCTATGTTTTATTCATCTCATTTTCACCATGCGGTTAAGATTTTTTTCCCCCACCTCTTCTCTCTCAACTTCATTTTTCTCACACGGGAGAGAACTATTGCTTGTTCAGGCGAGCGTGAACACATGTCGGCAGCGGTTGCCTGTGCTTGCAGAAGGATCCATCCTCACGCTTTCTTGGTAAATTGAAGAGAACGCTCTCACTCCATCCAGTTTAACCCGAGTGGTAAAGCCTTGTGGCAAAGCTGACTGCACCTCCGCTCCCCAAAGCAGCTCGGTGCCACGGCTCGGACAAAGGGGGATGAAAGTTAGCACAGTGAGGCCATAAGTGGAATCACCAAAAGGTTCACATACTGGCTGACCCCGAGCTGATCTGATATTATCCTTCACAGCTGATCCTACTAATGGGGCAGGAATTATGCATTGTCTCTGACTCAGTGCGGCCCCCATCTCACAAAGATTAGCGCTGCTGTGTGGGAGAGTCAAGGTTGAAAAATATCTAATCAAGTTTCAATGATTATTCAAGTGAGTAAACAAATTAATTGTAGTGAATGTGCTGCTTCACTGAGAGAAATTTTCCCACATGCCACATAACTGTACTGCCGCGAAGAAAACAGACACCTCTTTCTCGGAGGTGATAATGACATAATTGTAAGGCCATCCTGACAATACGGCCATTCATCACGTCTTATTATACGCTGGAGAGAAATTTAAGATGGCAGCATCGATTTGTTTCGAGCACAAAAACAGAGCGCGATGGTGGAAAAGCTGATTATCTTAATGAAAGACTGATTTTGCTCTCTTAAGTTGGGGAGGATCTTTGAGGTTTAACCACATCATTCAGCCCTCTTCCTGCGGCTTTGTCAGCTGCAATAGTTTACAGGAGTCACTGTTGTTAATAGGACTGGACTGGCAGTCCTATTAGACGCTTAAAAGCTGCAGAGAATGAATCGTCAAAATAGCTTTCATTGTGAGGGTGTTTAATTGTCTCTATTTTTTAACATGGCCTCTGATGCCCGCTAGTAATTAGCTGATTAATCAGATCTGACGACTTGTCAACTTTCCCTCAGGAGATTTCTGAACTGAATGTGAATGAGAGAGGTATTTGCTAAGAAGAGGCCCATTACATGAAGCCATAGATCCTCTCCCCTCCCCTCTCCCCCCCCACTCTTCTTTTTTCCTCAGACTTCCTCTTTCACCTCTTTTTTCAGAGAGCGAGGACTGATTAAAACAGGAGAGTGGTTCATTAGAATCTGACAAGCGACACCATATCTGCAGCACACATGTCCTTGGAGAAAGCCATCTTAGCCCATGTGACTTACCGTAGTCGATGCCATCTCCACAGCAAACACTATCCCCACACTAATTGAAACAAGGTGCTCTGTGGCCCTGCTATCTGCCGAGGTGACAGTTATGCAGCCCCTGCAAATCCGTCCATGAAAACTGAGGAGCTTGATTAAAAATGCGCCTTCCTTAAGTGCTCCATCAGTGTTGTTTCCCAGTGTGAGAAAATAGCTTTTCTGTGATACAAACAAGTTGTCACGGACATTTTATCTTCCTGACACTGGACGCAGGGTTGTCTCGCTGGCAGGTGTATATTGCTGTGTCAATCTAAAAATCAACTTCAAAATGAATGTTAAAAAAGCGCTACTGCCAAACCCATGCATAATGCAACTAGTAGTAGTGCGTTGGATAAATCTAGGTCTTGACAGTCACAGAACTATGTACAATGGTGGTACTGTTTTAAGTGTCATATTTGTCATTGCTGTGATACAGTAAAAAAGGCCAGCTGTGATGCCTGAGATACTGACTCTAGAAAATCTGTGGAATGTCTTTAAATCCAAAACCATCACATTCAGAAGGAAAAGGAAAAAAAGGAAATAATTATCTATAAATGATCAGCTCTGGTAGCTCTGTGAGCTGCTGAACAAATGTACTGCAGCTATTGGCTTGGTCACCTTCCTTTTCTGCAGAGAACACTTAGCTAGCATTACTGAGGCCCAATGCTGCAGCCTTGAACAGCAGCCAGCAGTGGGCTCTCTCACCTGCCATGTCTCAGCTGGGCCTGTCTGAGGCTGTTGGGAGGCACAAAGATGCTCTTTGAAGTTAATGAAGCATCAGCATACTCCTTTACCTCCACCACTGGGTCATTATGCACAGCCAATGTCAAGGCAGCACAGAGTACTTCAAAGAATTAGAGGGGAATGCCGTGCCCACCCTCAAGTTCACCTCTAACAGTCTTCGTGTCATCATAACGGAAACAAACTCTACCACAAGCTGATCTGCATTTACAGAAATGACTTCTAAACATACCAATTTCTTTTACACATGTCCTCAAAGCATAATGGCGTTCCGTGGGAGTGCGGAAGATTATGCTGACAGGCCCACATTAAGACAGGAATAGGCTAGCATTTCACAACATCAGCAAAGAGCATTGTATGATCCCACTGTAACGTATCCATGTTGCACCTGCATGAGACACAAGGACAGGACAGCTCTGTCGCTGCTGGTCCACGCCGTTGCACTCCTCTCTGCAACCTAAAACACCAAACCATACTAATGTGTGACAGTCAACTATAGCTGTTTGTGAGCCTCTACAATTTGACTGGGTGCCATCTTGGAACTGAGGCTCTGAACTGAGCTTTAGGAGGGGAGGCTGGCTCCTCTCCCTTTAACTTGTCACTGTTACTATGGAAACTGGCAACATGCTTTTAAGGCTTGTATGGGACACTTTGGGAGTGTATCCTAAACAGAAATTCAGAACTTCTGCTGTCTAACAGTATACAACAACACTTGCAGCCAGTTTAGATTACTACAGAGGATACAGACCACCAAATGCCTTGTGACATTTAATATTCAGGATATGTGTGTTGTGACAGGATTTGGTATAAATCCAAATATCAAGGATAGAGCTCTTTCAGCGAAAAAGGGGAAGTGGCAATCGAGTTTGAGTAAAAATAGTGTGTTTAATGCGTAATTATAGGTCCCTGAATGATATGTAATAATTAAGTGCGTTAATTTCTGTAAACGTGAAGAGTGATAGGATGTAACAGCTACCTCCAGCTGAGAACTGAGAAGAGAGTGTTTTCACATCTTCAGAATCAATCATTACATTTCCTGTAACCCGCTGCTGAACAATCTGCAAATCTTTGCATGGCTCGAAATGTTTTAAAAGGACAGAAACAACAGTAAAAAAAAAAACAAAATGCTTGGAATCAAATTTTGTATGCAGACAAATTGAAACTGAATGCGCTCACATTATGTACCCACGCATTGTTCACCTCACTCACTGTATAAAATTATACGGACAAATGATGAGAATAAACAGAAAGACTACAGGGACAATAGCAATGCGGTTTGTTAATTTAAGCAATCAATGAAAAAGCAGAAATAGAAAATGACTTCGGTGCCTTTGTTTTGCCTTTCCAAAGGGATACAGTACTTTATGCCAAACAGAACAGTCTCTTTGGAACACAATTACTCAATACAAGCTGGTGCAGGGTGATTTCCTGATAGTAGATTACTTCCTCACTTTCCTGTTTGATAAGTAAGGGTTGCTCATGCTCCTTTGAGATTTCTATCATCACACTACTAACCCGCCTACTCTGGATGGGCAAGTTCTCACAATGCCCATTATGACATCACATCCTGCAAAGCTGCTTTGTCCTAGCCTAACCCTTACAGTAGAGAATAACACACTGAAAGAGAGGAAGCAGAAAAAAAAAAGGTATGCAATGATACTGTAAGGCACAGCTGTTCACTTCACACCAAGCACAGAGCTCCCAGAGACATAACATGAGTCAACATGCAAAGCAATGCAAGTTAGAACACCCCCGCTTCCCAGAAACCAAGGAGCACAAAAGGGTGAAGGGAAAAAGTCTTTCCAGTCCGACCAGAGCAAAACTGTGACAGTCTCCCAATACCACACACACAGCTGGTACCAATAGAAGAAGATCCCCACATTTGTAGTACGTATAGCAAAGTCAGATCTATTATATGCTGTAGCAAAGGCTTTGAGTGCAAAATATCGTCTCCTATGGATAAGAACCCAGAGGAACCACAGTGCGTGTGTGCCAACAATTATGTGGAAGGCAAGGGAACTGAATCAGTTTTGTTCAGCATTTTGTTTTCCCCAGAAGACAGAAGAGACAAAAGAACGAACGCAGAGCTCAACTACAAAAGAGGCACGGGCTGTTCGGAGAAATGTGAGCGTGATGCGAGCAAACTATGATCAATACAGTACCCTCACCTCAAACCCCCATTTTCCTTGATGTTATTTTAGGCGCCCGATAACAGACCTGCTTTATATCGCTCCCACACATGGGATGCGTAACAGGGCAGGGTGAGAGGAGGCGTCTGTTGCGTTCTCACAGTGTGTGTGGAGCTCTGATACACAAACACAGAGGCTTCTATTTTTTTCCCCCCTCATCTAACCTTCCACACAGTGCAGCAGGGAGCCGCACAGCCAGGGCAGGTGGGAACTGCATCGAAAACACACAGGCAATCTGCTACAATCAGCTGGTCTGTGCGTGTGCATGGATATTTGTGTTTATTTGAGCGGATGGGGGTCTGATGGTCCCTGACAACATTTTTGGCGGGGTACTGCATTGATGTAAGCCATGCCAGAGTTACTGAAGAGACAGAGAAACGGAAGCGACCGCCTTCGTCAACCTACCTGTGATGTTGACGTCCACAATGCCAGTGCGAGTCCCGATTCCGTTGGTGGCGTCGCAGACGTACGTGCCGGCCAGGTCGTAGGTCACCGGCCCTTTGAAGAACAGGGTGTTGTTCTTGATCTCCACATTACTGGGCAGGGAGCCGTTCAAGCTGTGGTGAGAGAGAAAGGCAATAATACAGACACCATAAAAAGGAAGAATTACACCAGACAACAGTAGAAAAAAAAAAAAACTCCTCTCCCAGGAGCGGCAAAGCAATTCAAAGCCCCTGAAAAATACAGTCTCTAGTGCCAAACAAACCTGGATGTGTGTGTCGAGGTGAGATAAATACCAGGAATATTTGACAGCGATATATTTCAGCCATCATCCATCAAGTCCAAACTAAATTATGAGGACAGGGAATCCCAGCAGGTCCAAACAGGTAAGACATAGTTGATGCCTGAGGACACAGGCTTTTTTGGCACGAGGAATAGAAAAAAACAGTGGTAGGAGGAGGGTAGGGGTGCTGAGGGGGGCTTCTTTCCTCAACTATGGCAGAGCTCACATGGCTGAACTCAAAACTCGGGGGAGCTGTCAAGAGAGGCAGCTGATCAAGCGATAAATGCAGAATCTACCAAATGCTGGGCTGTCAATGAGAACTGGAGCCTGTTTCTCCTGCCTGAGGTGTTTGTCTTCATGGTCCACTATCTCTACTACGTTCAGACTTGCTCGCGTCCTTTGATCAGGTCAGCACACTTTGAGGTTACGGATCATGAGTGCACTAACCTTTTCATTCTATTATCCGGACCCTTTTTATGGAGCCCAGGGGCTGAAAAGGGTATCAAATTTCATGACAATTAGCCGTTTCCTGTTGGCTTTCCCTGGATCAGCTTCATCAGCTGCTCTGAATGGATCTAACTTAAGTACAGCGACAAACACGACTGACAATATTAAACAGCCCTCTGGTTTGGCTGTGGCGAGCTGGATGTGGTAGTTTTAGTTTCCTTGAACAAAAAGGAGGTTGCAGAGAGTTTCCTCCCACACTCCTGGGCTCGCTCTCTGTCGGAGACACACCTTGAGATCCGCCGTTGTGCGAGATCATTCAAAACAATGCAATGCTCCATTTATTACAGCGAGAGAAAAACAAAATGACATTGCAGAGAGGCAACAAAATTAGGTCTCATGCTAACAATGGGCACACATCAAGCACTTGAGCAGCACTAAACAGGCTTTCAACTAGGCTCTTCAATGACGAGGGGAAAGACACAGTGACAAGCTATTTGTTAATTAATTTATCATAACATGTCAATTACAAGCAGCTGATCCATATGTGGTTCAATGCTTTTCATAGAGCAGATTTTCAGGCCAAGTCAGTATAAAAAGTATTTTTTTCTTTCTTCTTAGCAATAAAGTGGCCACAGTTCAGAACAAAAGTAATAAAAGAGCTATGGTCGAGTTGTTTTTCATATGCCACTATGGCGGCGCGTTTGCAATGGAGCTGCAAACAACCTTCAATACAGTATGTCACGATTCAATAATCAGTTACCTTGTGAGCCTCTATCAAATGCTGAGTTCTGCAAAGCCCAATTGATTTGCTGCAGAAATGAAAAGGCTGGCAAACTGCGATTGACCACAGATTCTGCCGCGATGTCTGCATTTGTATGAGACATCTGAATGTGTGTGTGTGTGTGTGTGTGTGTGTGTGTGTGTGTGTGTGTGTGTGTGTGCGGAGCCTGAGGGGCAGCGAAATGAAAGGCTAACAAACAGCTTGAGAGCGATGCAGATTCTTTGGTGGCTGGCTGGCCTTCTCGTGTGAATGCATGTGTGTGATGTGGGTGTATGGATGTTGGGTGTGGGGACTCAAAGACACTATACATCAGTGCACCATGCTGCTTTCACTATGAACTGCATGTGGAAGCGGCCTTAAACTTGAAAAACATACCGTACGTGCTTAACAGCCAAAATTTGAAACTTTATTGTTATTTAGGGTTCAAAAGAAGGCAATTCACATTGGCAACAGGCAACTGATTAAGAGATTATAATATTCATTAAAGGAGGAAATTAAGACTGCTCTCTGGACATTAAACTAACAAATAACTAGCACTAAAGGACGGCGCCTTTAATCAAATATCTATCTTTTTTGTTGCCGTGAAAGTGTTCTTAAATTCATGTTTAATGTTTCATTCTCTTTGAGGAGCTGCAGAAAACATGAGCGGTATTTAATGATCGATTATGTTAAATAAAAGGTGCATCTGCCTTCGTAGCCTCCGTGGTGGCAGCACTGGCTGTACGACATCCTGCAGTAATGATGTTTTACAATAAACCTGACTTGACATATCATTTAAAGGGGCATTAATAAATCTGAAGCTAGTGAACCAACAATTCACTTTCAGTGGCATTTAATTGACATGAATAATAGAATCACATTTTCACACTAGAGATAAGTAAGCCAGCTAATTAGAGTGGAGTTTGAGGTAATCACACTGCAAAAACAGTAATGACAATAATACTGCTTTTTCATTTTCATATCTTTGAGAAATGCACTGCGGAGGGATGATGTGTGTTCTGGAAAATTGCTTTTTGAGGAAAGAAAAAAAAAGAAGAAAATATTAAGTCTGAAATCTTGGCACACAAGTAATTGAGTTATTTGCGATAATAAACAACTCTTCCGCCCTCTCTTCCCTCTGCTTACTTTTCTTGTGCCCACTGAAAATTACAGTATGCACTTAAAACAGAGTCAACAAATAAGCATGGAGACAATGCCCTACAAACAAACATTTCAGAAACAAACAAGTTCAAATAGGGTGTGTCCTTTTTCTTTAGTCAAGTCAATTTCAGTGCGGCTCCCCATTAACCCATTTTAAGAAAAAGCTGCAACATTGTGCTCGAAGAAAATAAAAATCAAAGATGTTCGAATGCTTTCTTCAAGAATTGTATATGTGTCAAGGCTTTCTGCACACGGTGCAGGGGCACAGAGATTGTGTGTGGTGTGAAAAGTGAACGAAGATGGTACAAATAAATAAATTTAGTTTTTTTCATTATAGGTACCACAATAAGCCAAATGAATCAGGGCTGCAACTCAGGGTTATTTTCATTATCTATTAATTGACAAAATGCAGGAAAATGGTAAAAATGATTTCCAAGGCCCAAGGTGACATCCTCAAATGTCTTGTTTTGTCCACAACCAAAGATATACAGTTTACTGTCATAGAGGACTAAAGAAAAGAGAGAATTGAGAAGCTGAAATCTGAGAATTTTCCTTATAAAAATGACTCAAAACGATAAATCTGTTATCTAAATAGATGGTGATTCCTTTAATAGTTGATAAATAATCTATTACTAATCAGCGCAGCTTAAAAAAAAAAAAAGAAAAAAAATAAGATCTCATTCGATAAGATAAATTCTATATACAACAAATTGTCTCTGGAAACAATGTGGATCTGTATCAGAGGCATTAATATTTATTGGATTTGGCTACACCTCTCGTCTGTGTGTGTTTGTGGTTAAGTGTGACGCAATCCTGCCGGCCTGTTCCGGATCCTTCCGTCACAGCCTTGTGCTGACCTCCACAGTGGAGCCCAGGGGAACCTTCACAACAGATTTGGCATCTCATTTTCAGTGCAGCAATGGCCGTCCCCTCCTATCTGTCAGCACAGTGCCCTCGTCTTTCTAGATCACATCTCTTCACCCTCCTCCTCTTCTCTCCCTATCTTCCCCTATCTCCCTAAATCTCCCTTTGCCTCTGTTTGAGAAAAAAAACCCAAACAGGTCAAATCTTCTCTATCTCTTCGTCTTCTTTTGTTGCTGTGCGTATATCAGTGTTTCTGCCCCTGAGAGCTAAATCTATGCATAAGGGAAAAAAGGAAAAAAAAACTCCCCATGCCTCATTAAAATCAAACAGTGGCCTGTAGAGTAGATACAATGAGGGCACAATGGTCTATTAATCCACATCCACTCAAGTCCAGTGACATATTTCTCAACTCAGCCTTCACCGAGCAATTACAGAACAGATTGCTACATTTATCTCTCAATTTGACCATATAATACTTTCATTAAAAACTGTGATACGTCCAGAAAAGTTGCTTTATATTGAAAGAGCTGCACTGAATTGTTTTATATATATATATTTTTTAAATTTTGCATCTGACATCAAAACGCAGTAAATAGTTCGATCAGAGCAAATTACAGTAAACAATTCAGCATTCTAGTTGTTTGCCTTCCATGCTCGTATTTAAACTACATCATTTCTGCACAACCAACTTTCATGTCATTACTCAAAGCAGATCAAACCCGGGGTTATTTGGCGATTCCCGGAGGCCCTGGAAACATGTTTGTATCTCTTTTTGCTCGTGTATTTGCAGTGATAGTCTCTGAGGCACAAACACTGATGTCAGCCCTGCGGTATGCTGGCCTAATCCACAGCTCCTACTCCAGCTTTCAGTTCCAGCCCTCCGCTCTGTCAGGGACAAACCGCTGCCTTCTGTGCCCTCCAGAGAACGCAACAGCACTGACACAATGGCGCTTTCTTACCCCTCTACCTGCATGCTGGTCCTCAGACTTTAAAGCAAAACCCCAAAAGCAAATCTAACCCTGTTCTGTTTGCGTTTATCTCTCAGTATCTGTGACCATCAGGCAGATAGGGGTGTGTGTTGCAAACGTAATAGAGCCATTGTGCTCTGTCCAAGTCTTATCTTCATTACACGTTTTATACACAAACAAATAAACGGAGACACATTTCTGGAGAGGATGAAGGAAGTTGGTGTGTTTTTACCTTAGAAGATTACTTTCTTGTGTGTGTGTGTATATATATATATATATATATATATTTATATATATATATATATATTCCATGAAACAAATATTGCAAAAGAGCAAACTCAATTTGACCAGACCATTCTATAACTTGTCTTCCGGTGCTTTACTAAGTCCTCCACAAAAACACAGTTTTTTCCCAGTCAGAAACCCAGTGTGAGAGAAACAACACATAGCCATTCTGTCTCGTCTTCTGAGCCTTAAGGGGGTTTGTTAGGGTTTAGTCAGACTCACAGTTTCCACTGGTAGATCGTGACAGGGGGGTTAGCATCAGCCCTGCAGGTCAGCTGAACATTCTGCCGGTTCAGGTACCAGTTTCCATCAAAGCCCTCGATCTTCACCTCGGGTTCATCTGCAAGGAAGGGCACACTTGAGTCAGTTCATCCCTCCACAACATATTCCGAAAACACTGTTGTATCATTGCACCTCTGTTAAAGTGAGTTAACTATTGCTAAAAAACAATCTGCACACTTTCAACAGTTGTATCTATGCTACTCTTTTACATTACTGTAGACAGGCTTAAAGGACCAGTGTGTAGGATTAATGACATCTAGAGGTGAGTACTGCTCGCCTACCATGCGAGTAGGAGAAACTACGGGGGCCGTGAAGCTCGCGAAAAGGTTGTATCTAGAGCCAGTCTATATGGGCTACAGTCGAAATATGCCTGTTCAACATGTTGCTCCGTAAAAGAGGGCCCGCTCCCTCTGTAGATAAAAACGGCTCATTCTAAGGTAACGAAAACACAATGATTCTTATTTTCAGGTGATTATACACAAATAAAACATACCTAGTAATATTTTATTCATTTCTGCCAAATGATCCTCCTAAATGTTACACACTGGACCTTTAAATAAAGTTTTATTGTAAACAAAACCACAATATAATGGTATAATCCAGCACACACCTGAAAGACACAGTAGAATGAAATCTAACAGAAAAGCAATGAACAAACTTTCTGCACAAAAAGTTTTTTTTAGGTTTGAATTTAGTGAGTTTGTTTCGAATTATTTAATTAAGAAAAGAATCGGGAAACCAGACTCCCACTAAGAAAAATCTTTGTGGGAGTCTGGTCTATAGTCAGCAGCTCATTTGTTTTTGGTTGTCTTGGTTTTGTACAACCGGAAAAGTTTCTGAGCTGTGTTTGCAAGAGGACCTTGTTTACTGTAAACTATGGTGATCCGTTTACTCTTGCTCCTGCAGCAGGAAACTTTTGGGTGCATGAGAACATGAAAAGTAAAAATAAGTTCTCATTTGAAAAGAAAAATTGCAAGAATAAAAAAAAGAGCCTTAATATGGGAGCTTTAAGGGGTCAAATGCTTACACTGCACGTTGAGCACCACGCTGTCTGTGATCCTCTCGTTTCGGTACATCACGATACATGTGAGCTTCTGTTTGTGGGTCTCGCGGCTCGGTATCACCACGTAGTTGCTCCGTACTGTCACCGTCCCATTTTGGTTGCGGGTCTGCTGGGAAGTGGCTTCGCCCTTCAACCTGGTTTCCCATTTGATTTCACTTGGGGGCTTCCCATTGGCTGATACACAAGTGGCAACAGTCATCTTGCGTTTCTGGGCCCTGGCCACAATCGTCGGCGTTGTCAAGGTCATACGTGTCATAGGCCGAGCTGCAAAGAAGAAAGGATTAAGCAATCAAATTACTGAAATGTAAGTAATTAAAGCTCATTAAACAAAGATCTTGTGTTTTCTCTTTCAGTTTCCAATCCTCATTTTGGTGTCTAATTTTGTCTGCTTCACCTTCAATCAGCTTTGAAGTAAATTAAACTAAGGGGATGAGAGATGAGAACAGTGTTGCAACTCAAATCAGGCAAAGTTTTTCTTCTTTCCCTCCTCAAAGCCTAAGCAGTTGTCGAAGCTCTCACAGATGTAGAACCCACTTGCCTACCCAAATGCACTGTCATCCAATTTGAATCCTTTGTGAGTTGCCAATTAGCAATCTACTCGTAGTACATCAAAAGGCAGGCTTGAGCGTGAGCGAATGCACAACAGAGAGAGATTGGCCGTGAAGAGGCCTCTTTGAACGCTGCGGGTTGGTTATCTGCACACAGGTTCCTGACGTTCACTGAGCCGCAGAAGCCTAAAAAGACCTTGGAGGCTCAGTGACACAAAATGGAGACTCGGCTGACAAGAAGCTCTGGCAACAGGGACTACTTAAGCCAAGTGCTTTTTCTTTTACTGGGACTTAATGGAAAACACACCAACACTTAATTTCTAATTAGATCTTTAATCAGAGTCAGCGCACAACCTTTTCAAAGCTGCCTCTTTCTACGATAAACCATATCTCAGGCACTCCTTTTTCTCCCACACAAGATGGGATTATTCAAGCCAAATTACACAGTCTGAAGTGGCCTTATTGATTTCCGTCTCACCTGCCATTTTTATTGACTGCTCTCTGCAGCACTTTCCCTTTCATAAAAGCCATATGGGCCCAATCTGGGATTGGTGTTAAACGACACGTCACCCCAATCATCACATCATGTCTTCGTCAAAATGATTTTCACTTCAACGCTGAACATGTATCCTCAACGACAAGGTCCTTTGCATGTGATGGTTGGCACAGCCATTCACCAATCACAGACTGGGAGGTTTAACTGTAAACAGTGTGGTTAGAGCACCGGCTTTAGCAAACAGAGAAAGAGCATCTGGTTTGAAGTCTTCCAAACGAACTCAGCCTACTTTACAACAGAGCCTGTGGCAATGTAACATAGAAGAGCAGAGCTGTAAGTGTTTCTTTTAGCCTTTCACTAAAAAGTAGGATATCAGTTTGACCCTGTTTTATCTGATTCAAAAAAATGCTCTTTGTCTCTTTCTTTTGCTCAAACAGAACCAAATTTAGGAGACTAAAGACTACTCATCAGGCCAGCAATAACATGTTCGAGGGAATAACTCCTTAACTCATTTTAAGATGTAGAACTTTATCATTTTTTACTGTTTTCTTGGCTCTATACATACTCGATCCCCTGAAATAATAACACAACAGAACACGGATTAGATTACTAAGATTTACATCAGTACAGAGGCCTTTGTCTTTGCTTAAATTCACATGACTGATGCTGGATATTCAAACAGGATTAAAATGACATATAATCTATAAATCTTTAATATTTCTGTACAAGTTCTTACCATACACAGTGAGGTTGACCATGTTCTCCCGGTTGCCTGCGGGAAATGTGGTATACTCGCAGATGTAGGCAGCTTCATCAGACAGCTGCAGGCTGGAGAACACGATGGTGGTGTCCTCCAGTGAGGGCGTACGATGACGAACCGCTGCCTGCTTGAAGCTGACCCGCTCCTTGAAGGGCGGCAGAACGGACACGCCGAGGGCCGGGTTGGCTATGGCCACGTTCTGTTTGGTGCCGTTGAGGAGCTTCTGCCAGGTCACTTGAGAGATCTTGACTGGCGGGTTACTGTTGATGAAAATGCAGCGCAGTTCCACTTGTGAACCCACATTGCCAGATTTACTGGAGTCCATCTGTACCATCTGTCCATCGCCACCTAGATGTTACAGAGACGGACAAAGAGAGAGAGAGAGAGAAAAGCAATTAATTACGATTAACAAGTGTCCAAGGCCAAGCAAAGCACTCCAGTCAATAGCAAGTACATGCACTGAAAGTCAAGGAGTCAATTCAGCCTCCTAGGTAGTACATGCACGCACAGCACTCCCAGTCAAACTCATGGATTCAGCCACACAGTCTACCGGTGCTACAGAAGCAACGTCTGCTCCCTATACATCAGGGTAAAGAGTTGGTACATGGAGGTGGTTGTGTGTAAAAGCTGGGGGAGTTATTAACATAATGGGCACATCTATACAACCCTGTCTTTGTCCACGAGGGTACTGTTTCTGATGAGATGGAAGGACTGAGCGAGAACCAATGCATCACTAATGAATGAGTACACGGGCAGCGAGTTGGAGCCAAGTTATCGTCTGCTGTGCTCCCCTCCACCTTCCCAGCAACACACTGGCTAACCCATTGTAATTTTAATTACTTTTTACTCACAAATACTTCAATGACTGCCCGGAGCTCCTATTAAAAGAAACAATGAAGTCCGGTGTAAGCACTCAAAACAATGAGAACACACACATTAGCTATAAAAAAAAAAAAACAGCAATTATGCCCCTCTCCCCTAGGCTACTATCTAAGCCTGTGAGGAGTTTGGTAGCAAAAAAAAAGGTCAATTAGCAAGGACAGACCTTCTGTAAGCCTGCCTGTGGTGGTGTCTACACATACTGGCATTAGTTGTCCCTTCCAGCCCACTTTTATCTAATGGTGGATTAAGTGATTGACAAAGAAAACTCAACTGACAACAATTTCTGTGATCAATTAATCACTTAAAGTCATTTTTTAAGCAAATATTCCAAACAGTGGCTACTTACAGCTTCTCCTAATTGAGTTTTTTTTCTGGCTTTCCTATGTTATAGATCGTTGTAAACTGAATATTTAAGGTTTTGGTGTATTCCTCAGATAAGACAATCTAACCAGACTGACTCACTATTCATATATTTTATAGACTAAAGAAAAAAATAGTCAACAGAATAATCAGCAATAATTGTTGCAGCTCTTTTTTTAACACTTCCTGCTCTCGTCCTTCTTTGTTCCTTCAATCTGAGTCTTGAGAAATACAACTACAGCGTTCATTTACACCTGGTCTGGGCTCTGAATTGACTGCAGTCTGAACAGATGTGTCATTGAACTGCTGCAGGGCTCCTGCATCCTGTTGTCTTTGACACATCTTTGTTATCTCAAGCTCTGATTTATGTTCCTTTCCAGGTGAAGTCTGATGATGTCCCATTTCCTGGTCCGACAACCCCTGGCTGGGCTTGTATTTACAACCAGGCGCAGCTATAATTATCTCCTATGGATAGGTGAGGACCCACAGGAGGAAAGACTGAAATTCCTCCGTTAATCACACCGGGCTCATAAAGCCACCAGTGAATCAAGTCATAAACAGAGAGAAAATATGTTGTGGCCTCAAGTGGAGGACTGGGGCATACACACATGCACCACAAAGAGAGAGGCTCTTTAACACTGAGTAACTGCATCACAATGATGGATAATCGCTGCGTTCGGAGATAAAGTTTCCACAGGGGGCATTAAAATGTGTAAGAATACGTGAGCGAGATCCATTTGTGTATACACTCACTGAATACAATATCTGATGTAGTCCAACCTCAACTATACAGGAATCTGAAGCAGAGAGGAGGGGGAGTAATGTGCGTGCAGGCTGTCAAACTGTCTAAGCAACTACTATTTTTCTTAAAAACTGTAGGTAGTCAGCCGAAGGACACCAGGGCACAATACATGCATGAAGAGAGGAAATAGTTGCGGCAGACTTTGGCTAGAACACCATTAAAATGAACAATGTACTTCTTTCCATCTTTCATGGCGGGCGCACAACTCTCAGGTTGAATAGCTTATGCTGGAAAGCAGCGCATTACGAGAGAAAGGCAATTTCTATCCATTGTTATATTCTTTCACTCAAGTACAGCCTTCGCTGCCTACATCAAATCATATAAAAAAACAAAGTGACAACCTTTTGAAGTTACTGAGTGCACATCATCTTTCATTTCCTTCTGGCCACATCAGCAAGACTCTCTCTATAGAGATTTAAACTTGGGGGATTTGACGATGACAGATTGATTTACTAATACAGTTTGACAGGGAGGACTGGCAACCTTGTCATCTGTACCTTGAGCAACACCTGTGTCCTTGTGCACCTCAGGGCAGTGCTTTACTCCATTTTATCACAGCTTAGATTACCAGTTGTGGCAGCTATAGTATGATATTTTTTGAAATAGCAAACACAATTTACTGTGTGACAACACTAGTTAAAGTTTAATCTTAAGTTGGAGTGAAGCAGGGGGGCTGTGTGTGCAGGGGGGCTGTAAAAACTCATAAATATGTACCTGGCCAGACCTCACCCACTTGAATGCTAAAACAATACTGGCAGGGGCTGGCTGTATGAAAAGCTGCAGCCCCTCCCTCCCTTGCTCTGCCCTTCCTCCTTTGAGTCAGATGCTCCCCACTCAGATTGAACCAAATAAACAGCAGCTCACGCAAATGGAAACCAGAGGAATAGGCATAATTACACAGCCACAGAGCCCAAATCCCCTCCGTGAAGGACCAGGGGCGCCCACGGGGACCCCTTTCACTCAAGGACTGGAGTAGTCCTTGGCTGAGCACACAGTATAGAGCTGTAATTACAGACTACACCACAGAGCGGCAAAGCCATGGAAGAGCAGAGACTCATACATGCAAGAGGCACTAAGAAGGTAGATTTTGTGGGGGTTATGAAAGCCAGTGGGGCAGAAACAGGGGAGGAAATCAGGGGAAGAAAAAAGAAGGCAAAGTAGTGGAGATGCAGAACTGGCGAGAGAGAGAGAGAGGGAGACAAAGAGGAAGGCGGAGCTTTAGGGAGATTTGTAGGTGTGCTGCGGGTTTGAGGCTGGCCGGCGTTGTTGCTTGTGCTGCTGCTGCTTTGTTCTCACACTGACAAGAGGGTGACTGGGGGGACAGTCATGCTCTAATACACCTGAGGCTAGACACTGCCTTGAGAGTTGCCAGTAAAGAGAGGAGCCCTATTTCTGGAAGGAAAAGCAAATAGGACAAACAAACAAAAGCAGAAAGTATACCCAAGCTGGCAGAATATAAAAAAAAAGAAGAGTGGTTTGATTCACACCAGGTGAGCTGACTTGGATCAGGGGGGACATAAGGGGCACTATTAAAACAGCTGCTGTACCGTCTGGCCCTGCACTGATAGCAAGAGACTCACAAGGCCTCGGCACAGAGCTCTGCACAGAACATTCGACTGTAATAAGATCTGGCCCGTCAGGCAGCAAGGAAAAGCATGTGCTTTGTGTTGTTTGCATATGGAGCATTGGACAATGTGTGAGGCATGCTGCACCAACTAACAGCCTTCAGTCAATGGTCTTCCTATGGTGTGTGGACAATATCCAGGAAAATACAGACCTGCAGAACAGTCTTCACTGTAAAAAGATCTGATCACAAATGCTGAAGGGTGTGTTTACAGTAAATCAATCAGATTTTATTACCCATGTGGGAGAACAAACACAAGTATGAAAAACATTCCTTTCTGTAACAAATGAAAAACTAATGAGTAACATGACATTAACATTTCATATTTGTTTTTTGTCTCTGCTGCAGAGAAAAAAAAATCAAATTAAAGTTTCAACACTAAATACACTACATTCATACATCTGTTTGTTCCCAGATATTCTTCAGTGCAATGTAAAACCAGACCTTGCTCTACATATAAAACAATAACACCACCATAAAACCCTAAATTGAAAACCAGGGCGCCATCCCCTAAAGCTTACGAAGCTTCTTTTCCATAAAACAACTGCTATTTGGCAGCTCATCTCGCAATGGATATGTAACACTATTGTCTTTCTTTTCTTAGCTGAACTGGCCAACAACCAACAATATTTCAAAAGACAATTATTGGCTCATTTACCATTACTTGGGCCATGCTCATCCAAGAGAAATCCATTTGTGCCTGAGTCAAATAAAGTTCAGAATAATTCACCTCTAGCTGCTGCAATGCGAGGAAAGGCAAAGATTAAATAGGACTCAATGCATATTTTAGAAGAGGCACTCATTAATGTCTTCTATTTAAAGCTGCACCAGGCAACTTGGCACACTGTCAGTCCCAAATGGCAGTGAGACGTCGCTGTTTGAAGTTTGAAAACTTCAGAACCCAGAAAATGTGTAATGTGATGTCATTAAACTGCACTCCTCTAAATGTCGTCTGCTCAGTAGCTTTTAGGGGTGGAGAGAGTGAACGGTTTCCATTTTCATCGGACTGGGCACTCACTTGTCACTTCCTGATGACAGGGAATATTTCCTGCTTCTGTCCAACCCCAACGTTAACATTTAATCTAGGCAAATAGGTCAAATCTATGACATCTCTCAGCTTGTAGAGCTCTCTTACACAGGCATATTTTGGTATAAACTTTGTGCCAAATGCAGCTTTTAAAGCTTATCACATGAAGACACATCATCTCCTCATGCTGGAGACGCTTTGGTTGCTCCATTGTTACTTAAGTGGGATGCTGATAGATAAAACATGGCTTGAGCCACTCAGGATAATGACTGTTTAATGTTGTCCCAGTTCCCACGGCAATGGCACAGGCCTCTATGCTCCCCTATTCATGACCACACATGGGGTGTTTAGGGGGAGTCCAAATCTTCTGTCTCACAACGCACAAAACCCACCCATTAGTTGCTTGTTTATTCCCCTTTTTTGTCAGTAGTATTTTGGAGCTCAACCAGTGGCGTTTTGCTTATGTTATCAACAGATAGAAGTGCTTTTCAAAATGCTTTATAAAATAAATTATGGCATTACTCTTAGGGATAACTGAGAGCTATCTCACTCTACCGGGGGTTTAAATACAGATAGGGCAATTCATTTAGCAGAAGCAGGCATATTTTATGTTTAATGCTGCTTTTTGTTGACCATGGCCATTCAGCTTTTTT